TATATATACTTGTATATATATGCAGGATGAGTTAGTTAAAATGTTACAGATTTATATCTCAAAAACAAAACATTTTAGAGAAAAATGTTTCGTTTAAAAGTTGTATAATTTGGAAGGGGAAATAAGATACCATTGGTTTGACCTTGGGGAATTGTTTGAATATTATGTAAAAATTACTTATATATATAAAAAGAGTGAGGAGGAGGAGAGAAAAGAAAAGCTCATATCTTGCTGCACACAATCTTTCGATACTTATAATTGTTAATTTAAAATACAAACGTTATTAAGTTTCGTCAAGATCTAATTTGAAGTTACAACCGTGCGAGAATATTATTCTGATTTTTAGAGTATTATAGCAGCTTTTCCTTTATTCGGGAAATGAGTTCCGCACGCACTTTTAATTGCTCGGTCGTGTCCCAGCAATTCGTGCTCCGTTCCGGGCTTTCGTTCCGAACCGTTGATGAAAAGCTGGAACAATAGAGATGAGGTCTCTCTCTCTCTCTTTCTCTCTCTCTCTCTCTCTCTCTCTCTCTCTCTCTCTCTCTCTCTCAAAACGTGCGTGTATGTGGGCCACAACCTACCAAGCCGATAAGAGCGGAGCAAAGTAAACCACGGAAGAGAGCACCATCGAAGATTTACTGCTTAATCGGAAGCGAGTGGAACTTCATAAAGGCTGTACGGTGGGCATTTCAAAAGAGCTCGTGTCGACTTGATGGAGCACCGCGAATATGTTCATTAATTATTTCCCTACCGTGAATATTCGCCCTTAATTGCGCCAAGTGTCTATAAATTTTTTCCTGAGAGCTTTCACCATTTTTTAAAATCTTCTACCACCTTTGTAATTTTCAATTTTCACTGAAACTCGACGGTTACACTATATACGGAGGCGCAAAGATCAATCGATGACTGCCATTCTCAAACCCTTTTCATAAATGTGCAATTATCTGATGTTAAAATCTTTTATAAACTTATTGTATATACACCTATTATTCGCGATAAATACGAACTGCAACTTGAAACACGTATCATAACACGTTATAGACGCAGTGTAAGCAATTCATTTGATGAGAGAAAAACGTAACCAGAATGTTGATGTGAATGTGATGGCCACAAAGCAAATTGGACTACAGCATAAATTTAGTTATATATGTATATACATACGAATTAACATTCATATGCTGATTAATTTTGTTCACTGAAATTCTCGAAATGTGCCGAAATGAATGACGTACGAAAAATGGACGTCAATTGATACTTCGTCAATTAATTAAACAGAGAGCTACAGAAAGCCGCCGTACATTCATTCGCGTCAATTCAGTTTTACATTTCCATTGATTCTAGCGAAGACGGATCCCCTGGTGCGCGCCGCTATCCAAACCATTCCCGAGGAGGCGGCTAAGAGAGGCGTGCTCCCGGAGGATACCCTCCGTGAGAGGTTCCTGAAGGTAATTACCGCGCTTCTCATATTCTTTAGAATTAGAATTAGATTGCTCTGCCTATCTTTACGAGATGATCTTTGAGATCGCTAGTATGCGATTTAAACGACAAGCGAATTAACATTGGAATTTTATATTGTTTCTTATAATATTATATAACAAATTATACTTTGTGCAATTTATTTATACTATACATTAATTTGATTTTGTATTATTTATTGATAGGGTTTAGATATTGTGTTATTTTTTGTTAATATATATCCTTACTTTTTTACTTCGAAAATGACACAACTAGCAAATGTAATTTTCAAATTATTACCTCGAATGAATTAGCTAAACACTACCCTATTAACTGTCAAAAGTAAACTAACCCCTCATAAAAAATTTTCAGAATTGTCACTAAAAAGATATTTAGAAAAAAAATCATCAGAATAGTTATAATTAAAGAAGGTTAGTTTTTAAAAAATGTTATGAACGACATTTGATTACATTAAGAATTATTCTTTATGCCGATATTATTTGATTTATATATATAGTTAAGTTGAAAAATAATTTTTTCCCTTTTCTGAAAAATTTAATTTGTCGTGCTATTTTTGAAATAAGGGAGCGATATTAAGTTTAGTTAAATTTATTGCGTCTTATTATGATGTAAGAATTTACTTATGGCAACATTATCATTTTCCAGAGTTTCTCTTTTCATTTACAACTTTTTTATAGCATCAGCTCAAACGAAATTCTTTTATGTAAATAATAATATCAATTTTTGAAAATGGTTCGCTCGTTGTACATTACTAGGTAGAGAGCGTGGCGAGAAGATTAGCCATGGTGCCTGAAGGCGGTGCAGCCCTGCCTATATATCTTCTTAGCTATCTTCAAAGTTTCTTGATCATCAAAACGGCCAATCCAATTCCGAAAAGGGAGCTCGAAGACGAGCCAATCGACGTAGACTCACTGAATACGTACGACATACTCCAACGTGCCAGGTAAGAATTCTCGTAAATTGTCAAAGATTCCCTCATATCTTCAAAGATAAAGAGATCAAATGAATTTATTGTGCGCGAAGAAACTCGAGATCGTGCCGGATTATAAACGAAGCAAAATACTTTCCCCAATATCTGTTTTATCGTAAATTGATTATCTGCATTCCTTCTTGTAAATATCACGATCTTGCGAAATTTACGAAACCGATACGAGTTACGAAAATAAACAACGACGGCGTAAAATTGTCGATACTGGACAACGATAAAATTTATTGTGTCGTCGATTAAATGTACTTTTATTGTACTCGTAACTCGGCAATTTCCGCGTCACGCAAGACGCTTCGTCTCCCTTTCTCTTGTTCGCTCGGTCCCGAGTTGACCCTATAAATTATCCTTACGAGACCCTAAAGACTGGGTAGAGCAATATATCCGGCCGGCCATCAACGAAGCGGGAAAGACGAAAACACCTGCCGTAATACCCGCCACGTACACTTTGACAAAGAACACCGCCATTTACTACTCGTCAGGTTATCCCTGGCGAGGAAATCCGCTAGCAAGCCGTTTTACCGACTTATCCCTCCCTTTTTCTCTCATGCCAGCAGCCCTTTAGTTTCTGGCCCTTATGGAAGGTGCCCTCGATTTATTCTGCGTAACACTAAATGAAGATAAGCGTATGTGTCTCGCGGGGCATGTATTGCAGCTCGCTTAAATTTATTTTTTCAAGGAAAAATATTATATATCCAATAAAAGCATTACAAACGTGTTTCGTTAATATCTACAGTATTAAATATTTACGCGAAAAATGGAACGTGCGAAAGCGCTTGACTGTACTCTGTAAAAAGAGTATGTGAAATTATATAAATAACATGTGCAAAAATTGCATAATTTTTAATGGAAATATATGAAATTATACTAAAAAGTTTTTACTGAAAAAATTAATACTTTTACTTCTAATTGTAAATATTTATCTATTTTAAACGAAAAATTACAATAATAATATACTATAATTGTTATGTAAATGTGCTTTTTATAATATTATATTACATAATATTATTATTATATTTGCATTTTTATGTTTATGGATACCATAGCTAAGAAAAATTGTAATTCATTCTGCGAATTATTTCGTAAATATTTTATAAACTTATATAATATATTTATAAATTTTAGTTTGTAAATTTATTTTTGTAAATTATTTAATTACTAAAAAACAATTTTATTTGCAAGTTTTAACTTACGTGTGTAAATATTCATCTTTAATAGTCTCAAGATTATTCGTTATATTCTCTTGTAATTTTATTCATTTTGTAATTTTACATGAAATTTTTTACAGTTGAGATACGTGAGAGAATTTATCGTTAAAGTTTTATTTTGACGATAGAATTTCTTGTACAGCTGTGAGAAAACGCTTTGGCACGATATCAGATATTTGAACGGATTTACGTACAAAAATCTGCGAGAGCAGTGGCTCATGTTTTTATCCATTACTCGAAAAATTCATTACTCGATCGTGCCTTAATTGCAGTGATAGAATTTCAAGTTGGGAAACGCTGCGCGCAAACGAGGGAATTTTTTAAACAGCCGTTATTGCTACGGCATACCTGTAGAATACTAGAAGCAATCGGTTAGTGTCTTTCACATGCCACGAAGCGATAGATTTACATACTTAAGAGCACTTACTCGCGCTCGTTGTGACTCGCGAAGTGTCGGTTGTCTACTGCAAAAGAAAATGGACCCTACGCTCCAACTTTCCTTAGGCAGTTTATATTTCTTTTTTTTTCCTTTCTTTCGCTTATCTACACACATCGCTGCTCTTCGTGCTTTCCTTTATGAATTAAAACTGCATTATTCAGGATATTTTCCGAATGGATACCGAAAAAAAAGGAAAAATGACAAAGTTCATTATCGATGCGAAAAGTATATTTTTGCGAAACGTATATGGTGAGAGAAAGATCGTAATTTCTCGAATAGGTAGTATATATGATCGTGATCTGCGAAATTAAATGTAATTTATTCAGTTAATAGTTCACGTCTTTGCATACTCATAACATTTTAATATATGTAATGTCATAATTTCACAGCAGAATTTGCAGCGACACGTGCTGTTTTAATCAAAGCTTTTTCACGAAACAACTCGAGTTGTATTCTTCCCCCGCCGCTCATAGAAGGCGTGAGCGGTATCCTGATGAATACTTAATTATTCTATCAAGAATACTTTGTTTTCTTCTGTACACAAAGTGGGAACTCATGCAAAATAAGTTGATATTGCCGCACGACAGACATTACGAATGGCATTCAGCGACATGAATAAATAATATGTTGCTGATGCGAATGGCACATTTTATTAGGGGATAAATTTCAGGTCGATCTCTACGGTAGATCGATTGAAATAAGTTACGCTGATATAAGTTGCACCTTTAAAATTGCCAATATGTGCAACATACATAATCCGCGCGACACGTCCATCGTCCATGAACGAACACGTGCCGAAACGCGGACGTGAGCCTTCTGAATTTTTAATTTCGGGGCGCACTGCGGTATGCACACGCTCTTTCAACGTCCGCGAGTAAAATTCGCAAGCTCCAGGGGAGTGTCCCGCAGAGTACGATCGATATATACCTCCGTAACAGATTTCACGAATTTGAAAGGGGAGTTATTGTCTTGATTTTTGCAAATGAATATTTGATGAATACGCGTTTTAATCTCCAACTTTTATATGATTAGTTGGAAACGCGCAAATGTAGTTGCCTTACTTATTGCCCTACTTATTAATTATTTAATAATCTGCATTTCATCTTGAAAGTCGATTCTCTTCCTTGATACTAAAAGAAAAGTTTTTTTTTTTTTTTACTAAAAAGGCAAATAAATTACTATAATAATGAAGTGCATGGAAAAGATAATTTTTTGTTGAAATATTTAAAATGTTGAAACTTTTTGGAGCATTGCTTGAGATTCTTAATTATTTTGATAAACAGCCCAATAAAATTATTTTCAGATTTGTATCTGGTTAAATTTTTAGATATTTTAGCAAAGTTGCTTTCTCCGTTTGACGAAAAACTACTACGTATGACGAAATATTTTATTAGTATAAATACAATTATTGAAAAGTCAAAAAATGCCAGAATACTATTTTACATAAGAAATATAATAAGTATTAATCTAAAAAAATAGAATATATGATCGCTTGATACTTCTAGTATTAAATTGAATTAGGAAAGTGGATATTTTTAAATAAGCTGTATTTGTCGAAAAGTTTGACTTAAAAGTTGATTAAAACTAAAAGGTTTCTCTCTTTACTTTGAAATAAATGGATAAAATTTTCTTAAATTAATAAAAGCTTTAAATTTCTTATACAAGAAAAGCTTCTTTGTTAAAAAAAAAAAAAAGAAAATATTAGATAGGCTAAAGAATTCGTAGATAAACGGAAGTATAGAATGGATTATTTGTTTTATATGAGAGTTTAATTAAAATTATTACGAGAAGTCGCGATATCACACACTACTACAACCAGATCAATCAGTCGGTGTAAAGAAAACTAGAGCTTATCCGCGATCTATAGCAAAAGAACACATAAGAACGAAAGATTTTCTTAATAGATCTTGAGGATTGTTCGCTCGTCTTAGTGAAGGCCAAGCGGGAAAGTTCCTACAGAGCGATATTGCCGAATATGAAATCCAAAAGCAGCAAGAAACTTCAGTATCCACGATCGTTGCGCGTCCGTGCCTCGAATTAGGCCACGTGGACTACGTTTCGAATCGCTCTCAAGATACCGAAGGGATGGATAAACGTTCCACATCGCGCCGCGCCATACCGCACTGCGTCCCATTTCACGTAGCTGTTCCATAGGATCTGTCGTAATGAGAAGACAGGCACTGTAGCATCCGACGTACGTCGGATTGTCCGTAACGTCAGTTGATCCCCTGGTTTTCTTTGAAAGCCAGAAGAGCCTCTAGTTTTCTCTATAATCTCAGCAATTACTTAATATGCGATCAAGCAAGATCCGACAGTTAATTTTTAACATTATAATGCTTATCAGCATCAATAAAATTAAATTAATTATCAATTATAGTGTAATATATTTTTTCAAAAAAGTTTTAAGACTGCACAGTAATTGGTAATTTATTTATCAAAATCATAAAAGTGAAATAGAAAATTTACAAAGTTTATTATTAGGCATAAAATGTTCACACTCGATAGTCGAAAACATTAACATTTATTTATTTTGTATTATATATCAGTTAATATTTACTTATTAAGTTAGCAAATTGAAAAAGATTAAAATGTAAATTTAGAACTAAGAACATGATTGGGTTTATATATAAATAATTCGTTCTTATTTGAGGATTTGTCAATTATCGTAATATTTTTCGTCTTTTATAAATTAGCGTTGCTCTTCTAATCGTTTTGTCATCAATCATAAACAGAATAGACAGTTACGGTTTAAGAACGGCGATATTACGGTATAATGAAAAAGAAAATGTTTCTCAATTGTACGTTTGTTTGGAAATCCTCTCGTATCCTTTAAAAACAATGAAAATTTTTTCTCTCTCCCTTAATCTGCCAGGTAAATCGGGATACATAGCATTAATCTCAGTTTACCGTATCGGAAACGACTCGGTGTATTCTGTGTAAAGTTCTCAGCCGATGTTGTATTCTGCATGTGGTTTTCTCTTAGAGAACTCAACATTGCTGCACCAGGAGAAAAGCGATATCCGGTGGATATCACTAACTTAATCCTAAGCCGGTGAATAAACGTTTCCCTTGAATGAACGAACGAACAAATGACTCGTGGGGGATACTAGTTTGAACATTTGGTCAGAAGATTTTAACAAATCGTAGCTTCTCTCTCTCTCTCTCTCTCTCTCTCTCTCTCTCTCTCGCTCTCGCTCTTTCCAAATCAACGTTTCCTTTTGGAAAATCACGCCCGATAGTGCGGCTTCCGGCTACCGGATGTCACCAACTATTCTGTCGCGAGTGCCTTTCGCCAAACTATCGCGCAATCTCTCTGGCATTCCTCTGAAAACGAGAGAGGAAGAGAAGGAAGGAGGAGAAGAAGAAGGAGAGGAATACGTTCTCGTCTGTCTCTAAACTTTGGAATGAAGTGGCCAGCAATCGGTTGAACTCGTGAATAACTATAGAGAAATCGGCCAACAAATCTTCCACGCTGATTGCTTCCCGCAAATTGCGAACCGCGACCGCTCGTTGCTTGCGAAGCATTTGATTATATCAAATTAACAAATCAATATGAATTTATCCAGAGGTATTACATTTATTAAATTGCATCGACCAAAAAAAAAAAAAAATAAAATATGAATAACATAAACAAGAAAAAGGCTATATTTGATTAAGGTGAATCTTGGTGCCTGATCATATTTTTGAAATGTGAATTTTATAATTTTCAGTTTAAGCGGAATGCAAGGATTATTCCAAAGATGAAATTATTTGATGAGAACCTGCTTTACTGCAGCTTTAAACATATCGCACCTAACTGTTTATTTCAGATATTGGTTGGATCGTGGCGATTTCAAAATGACCCTGAGGTACATGAATCTACTCAAGGGTGCGCCTAGAAGCGTCGCCAGAGACTGGATGAACGAGACTAGGATTCTGCTGGAAACGCAGCAGGCAGTCGACACTCTGCTGGCGTACGCAGGTGCGACCGGTCTCGTATATCACGGCGCCGGCGATCCAAAGGTCAGTACGCGCTAAGTTACAACCCCTTAAACAAGCAGTGTGATTAGATATGCTCTCGATGGGCCTGCCACATTGAGAAATGCGTGTGGACCAAATGTGTTTCCGGTAATTAATAGCTAGCCGCGGGAGCTCTCCGATATCGGGCAATGATAACTCGCTTATTAAACGATGTCATATAGCACAGGTTCTGCATAGCTTTCCTGTGTGATAGCACTTGCAGACCGGATTAATTATATTTTTTTGTAGCCAAAAAAATTTTTTTATTGCATCATGTATGGTAATTACGAATAAGCAGAATATTTTTTTTCAGCTAAACACAATTTTTCATTTTATGTTACATATTGATTAATTTATGTATTTACTTGATTATTATTTTTCTTGAACGCAACTTAGTTACAGAAATGACTTTTTCTTCACCGGAACAAGACTAGTCATGTTTTATAATTTTTTGAATATTAAATACGATTTGTCTTCCAAATTGTGTGATAGAATAATTTGGAAATTGGTTTCGTATTCAGTGTTTAAAAAACTAACTGGAAAATGGCTTTCGTTCTGTTTTTTTTTTTTCCGCCCCAAGTGTTACCAATGTAGTACTCTATGTACAAAAGAGCGTCTACGGTAATTGGAAGTGAATCCGTGAGTGTCCCTTGATTTTCCTTTTAGTGTTGTCTGAATTGTTCCAGCAGAAGTAAAGCGGGAAGAGTGTAGAAAACTGTCCCGAACCACGAGATGAGGGCATCTATAGAAGAACGGGGCGGGGATGACAGAGGGAAACAGGGAGAGACGATGTTAATCGATGACAGTGAAGAAAACGGAGGAACGAAGAACACAGAGATATCGCTGTCAGTCTTTATAGTCACTTTTCTAGCAATTAAAAAAATAGGAATATCGTGTGGAAGAGGCGAATATAGTGAGACGTTTTTCTTTTCCATCCTGACGTTGATCATTGCACGTAAATAACACTTCGCGCGCATTAACATACCGCCTTCTAGACTCGATTTAAATTTTTCAGTAGGACGTGAAATACACATGAACAGAATTTTAAATATTTCGGATAAATTTCGAGAGTGCTGTCGAACGAAACGATGATATGAAATTTTTTATCTGATAATATTTTATTTAAATAAACATTTTATCTGATAAATTCATTTCTCTTATCATGTCGGATTTTCTATCTAGAATAAAGTTCCAGATTTGAGACAAAGTAATCCCGCTAAAGTAACCGTGCACGAAAAAGTCGGTGTATATCAAACATTTATTTTTATTCACCGCTATTTCGTCATTCAACGGATGAAGTAACGAATCGCGACGAAGTAAAAAGTTACCGGACGCAGTGTAAATATCGGATGTAATCTTGTTTTAAAGACCAGCCACGTCTTGCACGCATACCGCACACATCGAAATCGCCGTTTTGTCGCACTTACATTTACGACTACTTGATATGCGTGTATTCGGCGAACTCCTCGTCTTGATCCATCCATCCATCCATCCATCCATCCATCCATCCATCCATCCATCCCATCCATCCATCCATCCACCCACCCATCCACCCATCCATCCATCTATCCAGATTGAATGCCTTTTACTTTATAACCGGATATTACTCTCTCCCGCGCGCCGTACTCTCGTCGCTCGTATCGCATCGATCGTCGCGCGTGCCGCGTGCCGTTACCTCGTCTTTTGCCTCTCACTCGAAACCTCTTCGTGATTTCGGACGGACGGGGAAACGTGCTAGGTATCATTGTTAAAATTGGAAATAAAATTGTTTATCGTGACATAATGTGTCCTGTTAATTGATCTAACGAGAACTCAATATGTAATAATATTTCATCATTTTATGTCCTTTCAGACGACTAATTATTATTCTTAAAGAAATATATGGAATATTTCAAATATTTCGAAAAACATTGTCTTTATTTCAGAAACATTCTAGTTTCCTTTTTAAATAGATTCTTTGAATTTTTCTTCAGTAAAGAAAAGCGATATTATTCTTTTGAAATAGCGAACGTGAATAAGAATAAAAGATGAGTATGCCGGACATTTGATTGTAGACAATAGAAAACTCATGGAAAATCTTAAAATAATGACGGTATCGTTTGTCAGTCAAATGTTGTTGGCCGTTATTAATTAGTCGTCTGGCGTTTGAAATAGGTCACGTACTTACGATGGTCTGTGGAAATATCTTCTTTGAGTTAGAAATTAGAAGACAATGGACAATTTGTTCTTATTCAATTTTTATTGCGTAATAATGTTGAAAATAAACAATATTAAGAATCTTTATTTTAGGCCGCATATGTGAGAAAACACTCAATGCCACAATCAATGCCAGAAATTTAAAACACCTATTACGATCGAATCTTCATTGCTTTAAATAATTCAATCTTGAATTATTAATATACACTACATACAGTACTTGCATATATATCATATTGTAGTCTTCTCGAACTGCGCGCCGAATTATTTTTCCGGGCTATAAATGCAATTAAAACTACTCTAATAATCGCGAATTAAATTGGCAAGCAATATAAATAATAAAATTTATTTCTTTTACTTTTTCAGCTATCTTACAAATCACGCATTAATTTAGAATTAAAAATTCTTATTTATTTGCGATAAAATTAATGTATATAATTTTTACCACAGAATGTGTCGAAGCATAATGTGATAATTTATTTTAATTGCTAATTTAGATTGAGTTTTATCATTAGCAACCATAATTATATTTACAGGTAAGTATGTATTTAATTTTCTTCAATAAAATACGTTTAACAATTAGCTATTAATTACCGAGGAAATAAACGTTAATTAATAACAGTAATAATATTCCGAATTCTGCGTTGGCAAAACTTCTTGTTGCTCGGAATGCTCAGGATTTCGTGAGCCACGAGCCACCGCGTGTTTTTATCGCGAAGTATTCAGCATCTCTGCAGTGTGTTGTGTGTTTTGCGCGTTAAATAATTCTGGCGAGAGATCGGTGACCGAATGAGCACGGTTAATTGCATTAACTAACGACGCTAATGGTACACTTGGAGGCTCGGGGGTTTCGTTACACAATGTGCCAGAATGAAACAAGGTGGAAACTGTGATACGGGGTCAGATGTGTGTACTGAATACAGAGCAAGCACAAAAAACGTAATCAGTGGAACTAATTTGTATTTAGCATTCATTAGGGATTGTTTTTTAATCTAGATTTAAATTTATATTAAAATAAAAATTTTTATTAATGGAAATTATATACGGTGGCTGCAAAAAGTTTTCAGTCAACATATAATTTTTTTATTTAGATAGTTTCTGTCAATCTGTTTTTTTTTTAGTTTATATTATAAATTAATAACACTCTTGCTTGTAATCAACTTAACAACGCGATATTTTAAATATCAAAATATAGTAAGTAGGTATTTGTAGATTTTTATTTGTAAAGATTCTTTATTAAAATAATACAATAAAATTACTCATGGCCGGAAACATTTGGCACCCATTATATATATAAGAAGTGCATGTTAATAAAAAATCATACGTGTTTCCTCTGTGCATCATATAATAAAAATTGTACACATCAATTTCCTCTCCCTTACGAATGCATAAAAATTAGCTTACAAACGTAATTTGCTCGCGTTGGATTATTATTTATTGGATATTATATTCGCGAATTTAGAAAGAAACTTAATATGCCTTTGGGTACTTGTCTATCCCTACGGTATAATAGAGCCACGGCGAACGATGTATTTTCATGTAAAACATCACTTTACGTTGTTTTGTCGCGACAAATAAAGATCCCGAGGGGTCGGATAAAATACTGCGGCGCGCGTAAAGACGGCGAGGGACAGCGCTAATTGGCGACGTTAATGACACTCGCAGCCTGTGCTCTACTTTAATCTAATAACGGGAGTCCGCCCTGTAAAAGATAATCATTCCACTTGTCCCTCGGGCAACGCCAATCTGTCGCGGCCATGGAAAAAGTTTGTACCCACAAAGCGGCGCGGTCGAATGCGGACATTTCACAATGCGACAAAGCAGCTCAATTAAAGACACTGCGCTGTGCTTTCGCAAGTAAAATTTGTTCGACATACAGAATCGTGATTTACATAGATTCGTAATGCTGTATGAACTTTATTTAATTTAATAAATTGTCTGTAGATAAAAGTTTTATGATTGATATGGATATGAATGGATAGGATATGAATAAAACTGTTTAGAAGTGAAAAATATATAGAAGATTATTTATTATGACAAATACCCGAATAGCTACGAACATCGCAGAATCTCGTATTTTTTTACTTTTCTTTTCATTTTGCTTTCTAGAAATTGATTCGAGACTGCGACATGTTATTCTCGCTTAATCTCCAATCACGCACAAGACGAACGTTGTACCATCCATGGTAAAATCATGATGGAAAGAAACACCATGCGTAAAACCATGGTACTGTCGTTGATGCGTAGACATCGATTTAAAATCGATTTGCCATCCGCGTGCTTACGATAACGGTGACGTGAGTTTAATCCACATCGGATGCTCCCGAGCGACGCGCCGAACCACCTACTGTCGCCAACAATTGCATTGACATTCATAACTGGTCGACGTCGATCCAGTCCGGATTAGGGATTCGTCTGGTGACCCGTGATGCTAGGCTGCAACGATTGTTTCGAACCGATATGCTTTGTCACGGCCAGAAAATGTCAAAACGTGCGCCGTTATTTCGCGCGAAGCTGTCATAAATGTGAATGCCTTCAGCCATTCATTACGCGGCATAAAATGTATATAATCTGTTGAAAAAAATGTCTTCCAAGTTGAGCTTCATCTTTTTAAATTTCTTTCTGGCTTTTTTTCTTTTTAATATAAAGCGTAACAATGCGTGCATTTTTTTCTCTCAAGTGCCACGCCGTTTTTGATCGTAACGTTGCAGCATCCGTCTCTAAACTTATTAAACTGTGAGACATACCCCGTGGCAGCCGATATTCCCGTCGGACGTAGGAATGCAACTACGACAAATCGAAATAACAACGGCGCAATTTCACGGTGGGTCGGCCGTTGTCGAGGCGCGCGTCATATATCGTCCGTGGAATAATTACTGTAGCGGAAGGACCGACGTCTCTCGCTGTCGAACGGACCGTCTGGAATTTCTGGATCGAACTCGCCGAGGCGAAGCGTCCATTCTGCGGATACCAAGGTGAACGTACACAAACGGCAGTACCGGGGTGAGTAGTTGAGTACGTATGAACGCACAAACTCGCGCGCGCGTACCCTCGTATCCCCTCGACGATTCTTGGAGAGGAAGTGGAGTTACGGCAGGTCGGATACACACGGCACCGGTCTATAAAGTAATAAAGGAGTCGCGATATGCTGCGGAACGCGCTGCAGGAAATACACGCGCGCCACTGGGGCACAATCCCGGTGTATAATAGCACCGCAACGCGACAGCAAAGGCGTGAAATACACGTGGGAGCGGCCGGGATAGGACGGGATTGCATAGGTCGAGAATCAGAAGCTGAATCGAATTATCTTTCAAAGAGTTCGGAGATTTCCGATTGTGATACCGTAAAGAAATTATCGATTTTATATATTATTTTTCGTAATTAATATCATTACACTTTAAAAAATATCGGTATGAATTTAACATTATGCGATATCTATGTGTACTTGTAATTCCCGTGTTGATGCTTATATTAAGGATATATCGGGAGTTTTGTAAATGTGTTAATTTTTATATTTATTAACGAACTACATCTATATAAAAGTTCATATTAGGTTAAGTAAAAAGTCATCGCGTTTTTTTAAAAGACATCTCTCTCTCTCTCTCTATCAGTAAAAACGCAATTACTTTCTTACCAACAGTATAAATATATCTTGATAGAGTAAAGTTTCAGCTTTAAAAATCTCTTTTTTAAATTATACGATACGACAATTTTTAATGGAGTTATGAGCAATTAAAGTCAAAATAATTCTTTTATTTAATCCGCGATAACTCAGTAATCAAAAGTCGTAGGAATATTTAAAAAAAAACGATTTTGTAGGGAAAGTATCAAGCTTTCACGATAGGTAATCGAAAATTTTCTCAAATTCGTTTTGGACACGTTACAAATCCACAAAGTGAGAAGAAAATTTTTCGTCTTTTTCAGCTCGTAGTTTTTGGTATGTAAAAATTATCAAACTCATATAAACTTAAAAAATGTAATAAGCTTTTAAAAGTAGAGATTTCAAGCTTTAAAACCCTTTTTTTAAATTTGAATTTCATTCATTATTGACGAAGATATTGTATATACAACTTTGAGCTAAAAAATACGCGATGACTTTTTACTACACCTAATATATACTGCTTTATTGAACAACACATTTTTATATTTATTTTATTTGCTATTTTTATTGTTATAAACTAAAATTTAAAAAATAACAATAAAAATCTAAATTCTTTTCATATAAGTACTTTAAGTATTCAAAATAACTTATGCAAAGTTTCATTGCAATTCACTGATTAGTTACAAAGCTTTGGAACAAATAAATATCTTGTTTATTTACTAGACAACTAGTCTATGCATCGCAATG